GACCAAGATTTACTATTACTATTGTTTTGTACGGTGCAAGGAGCCAAGAACACAAGTGTGGCAGTTAGTGTGGTTGTCCTTGGGGCGGGTAGCACGGGTCGGGACCAGGAAAAACAAATAGCAGGTCGTAGGGGGATCAAAGGGCAATCTGGTGCTTATTCTTTCCCAACAGGCAGATGACCTGAGCCTGGATGCTCTTGTGGGTTGGGGTTGTAATGATAACACCTTCGAGGATGTAGGTCCTTCTTTTTTTGTCTTTGTATTTGTGCTGAGGTGAATCTATTTGACATGGCATTACATCCTCCAACTCTGAAAGATTGCAGTCTAGACTGATAGGGGTTGCCTATTCCACATCTGAACACATTCTATTCTTTTTATAATTATTTTTTGAATCTGTAATTCCAAGGGTATACGGTGATTTTAAGGTGTGGTTTGTCAAACTGCTTGTGATGGGGCTATTATACATATGCTAAATAGCCCCAGTTATATCTATAGAATAGTCACCCAAGAATTAAATCATAGCCAGTAGGTATTACTGATTAGTATAAATGCTTTACAAGATCAAAGTGGTGTTTAAAATTGGTGCCCATGTGCTGCCCAGCCTGGCGTGTGAGATTGTTACCTGGTGAGATTGGACCTGGTATTCAAACACAAATACATGGTTTATCAGTATCTTGAACTTTTCTTTAACCTTCAAACCTGTTATTTCAATGTTATTTGATTGCGGAGACTATGAAAATGAATATCATCCGTAAGGAGCCATTTTTCATAGATTCAAGATGTAAAAAATTGAAGAAATTACTACCCTATTTGATTTGTCGTTTTTTGACCCCCCCCGCTAAATAACCCCTAAGTCTGGGATTCCTCTGGTAATCTGAGAACTGACCCATAAATCACAGGATTAAGAATATATAAACCTACGACTGTTAACCGCAGAAGGTTAAATATTCCGAGTATGAAACGTTTCCAAATTCAATTTAGTTAAACTCGATTAACAAATGGTACATCAAATGATTATGGAGGAAAAAAAAAGTAATTTCTGTGTATTACCTGATAGCCTTGCTTGAGAATCGGTCGACTGGATTGAAAATATTTATACCGAAACCTCTCGATTGTAAAATTCCTATAGAACTCCTTGCGTTGTGTTGGGAATATTTATCATCTATGCAAATTACCGCTCAGGTCCTCAAAGGCATTACACACTTCAAACTCTGAAGAATTTGAGGTAAATATGTGAATTGACATGCATGTGTGTTTCTGTAATTGCAATGGCCTTTCCACATAAGCGAGCAAAACTGTGGGCACCAGTAAAATTAACGTTACAGGTGAGAGAACCACGGGAAAACTACTTGTTTACCGAGTGGTTTACCCGCCTGTGACTCCACACTTGTACTCTTACCCAAGGTTACTCGTATCCACCGTTGTGCCCCCCTATCATGCCCGCTTGTGTGAATGCTTTAGGCCCTCTCCACATGATCGAATAGTGCCCGGCGGACATTGCACTCTGTTGGTTTGCCCGTCAATTTTGCCCGAACAATGAATGTTCTCGATCTGTGAACGAGGTTTTACGATATTTGAGGTCTTCATTTGTTTTCATGCTGTTCGGGTTTTCCAAAGACAGATAAATAAAGTCGTGTATGGTAGAGTTAGACAGTTCAATGTGAATTTTGAAAACTAGAAAACTAGAATTTTGGCCATATGCTGCACGATATTGACAATTTTTTTTTTTTTTTTGGAACTCCACATGCGCCTTGCCATTGGTGTGCTTAAGTTTTTGCTGATTGTCACAGGTAACGATTGCTTACGAAACAGTAGTTTTCTGTTCATTATGCGTGAAGTTCCACAAAGCTATATATCAAAACTTGAGCTAGTCCAGAGAATGTCCATTGCAAATGCAAGTCTGGCGCTCATTCGACAGACGTCCCGAACACATTAGCGACCTGCCCAGCGAGCCAACCCGGAATGGGAATGGCGATGCTTGTCAGGTTCTGTTATTTGTGTTATTTTAGGGTGCCCTTACTATGTCGCGAATGCGCTGTGTGTTTGTACAAGAGTAATGCACTGGGAAAACTAAACAAAGCAACTTGTATATTTTATTAATTAAAAATTATAGATTTATTGCCACCATTACATCGTAAAACCATTTTGCATGCAAACAAAAGAATGGTACACTACTTTAAGGAAGAACAAGTAGAGTGAGGACATGAATATTAGATATGAAGAGCAGCGTTTGTGATCAGGAGTATCAAGTCATCAATAGAAACCTTGGTCTAGACACTATACTGGTCGAGGCCAACTAACTGCAAGCTCGTGTCCCACAGTCGTTTGGCGTCCTCATCCGACACACCGTTCGGGTGTGGTCTCTTTTCTGCACAGTCACTGGAATACATTGCACGTTTTCAATACTAATGTGTATGTATGATGAACATTTGTACCATGATGCTAGCATCGCAAGAGTCAAGAACCTAAGGTAATGCAAATACATGTGCTGCAAGGCAACAAATAACTAAATGTACTAGAGGTATATTGGAAATTCTTGCAAGTAATTCAAACGAAAGCACTGGATGAGTGGAAACAAGCACATACCTTCCCCTCCCACACCCTCCCCTCCCCAAAAAAACATGTATCTGCATTGAGAACGATCGGGTATTTGAAGTCGATCCTCACATAAATTTTGAAGCCATCTTGAAAAAAATAAAACTAACTGGAAATTCAATCCATGTTCACCCCTCAAAAAAAGAAAAAAAGTAAAAAATCCTATGAAAGCAATAATACTATAGACATCACGCAGTGGAATATATACAGCCTGGAAATATAAAATAACGAATACACATTGCGATCTATAATTGTGAAACCTCAATTCCTTACCTGTAATACTTCCCCGACTGCGTGGCGAGCGACTCGTCCACCGCGCAGTAGATAGTCGTCTGGGCGCCGCGGACCACCGTCTTGAAGAAGAACTTTCCGAAGAAGTGGAAGGCCCAGTGGATGAAGGAGTTGACGGACTCGTGGATGTGGCGACCTAACTCCGTCTGCACAACACCGGGGTGGAGGGAGTAGGTCGTCACTCCCGTGCCTGAGGGAAGAGGGAATGGAACATTGTATAGTATGATTTAGGGACTTGCATATACAGGGTCTCTATTATTGCTGCTGTCTTTTTTTCTTCTAGTAAGTATATTTATTTATCATGGCTTTCTGTCTCTCCGTCTCTCTCTCTCTGTCACTGCCTGTCTATGTCTCCGTGTTTTTCTCTTAATACCATAGACGTTATGCTATCAGTCCATGAATTTACGCCCCTCGCGACGCATCGCAACAAAGCACAAGGAAGACGAGGCTCGCAATAAATGTTTTCAGCCAATACGCGGGAGTGGAGATGGCCCTTTGAATTTAAGACATCCGCTGAGAAGAATCCCGTAGGGGTGGGATTGCCTGTTTACCCGCACTTGCATGATATTTAAACCATCATTAGCATATGCATAGTCTCCAGTGATTACTCTAGAACCATTAATATCACCAGTATCTATACGAAATAATAGCTCAATCACTCAGCTCCCTGCAATACACTGTATTTCTCATGGACACTAACAAACTACTTAAAGAAGGCGGCAACGTAGATTTATTGGTAAGCTGTCCTCCAAAACAGCCTTTTTTCTAATCACACAAAATTTACAATAGTACAGGCTTACTAAACAAACGTACACAGTGATTTATCAGCCGTAAGCCTTAAGAAACAAAATCATTGTGCTGTTAATCGTTGGTTTGGTGATTGTACAATGACATGAACTCCGTCTGTGAGAATTCATGACTCGTTAACACGGATCTGTGCCAGGTCCAATCTCATTCACAATATTCTTTGATGATTTTAAATGATCGAAATCTGCTATTTTCAACTACTGGAAACAACTTGTGTTAATAAGAAAGTAACAGATTCGCACACAAGAGATTTTCGATATCAGTATCTCAAACTGAATCAGCCCCCTAAAATTCTTAAAATTACTACCGATACAACTACGAATTCAACGAAAGTTTATCAGAGCTAAGCAGTAAGTGAAAAAAAAAATAGAGTATACATGGATATATGACCGTTGAGACTCGTGTTGACAACTTTTATTAAAAAGTTATATGCCTAATGCTATACCTACTCCACACAAAACACAAGACTGCTGCTGTGCAAAATTAAACCTTTCAACGTTATCAACTACTATTGAAAAGCACTCTAAAAATATTTATACTGCCTTTCTCATAAACCACACAATTGAAGATCTATAATTTCGGCTTTTTTGGTGTGTGTTTGTGTGGGGGGGGGGGCAAGGTCGGCAAGCCTTCGCATTGCCATGCCCTTAGTCGCTTAGCTTTCGCTCTGAATTTCAGGCCCTATCACACTAGCACTCTTTACGTCACTTTTTGCGTTCCTTTATGAACTTTTCCTATATAAATGGAGTAACTTTATCACAAAGTCCCTATAGTCCCTATGTAAACAAACTTTGAAATGTTCTTGAATATCAACTTATGTTTACATTATCATATTTTTCAATTAAAAATTCTAGTTGCACAGAAACACAACATTAAGACGGAAATGAATCACGCGGAAACGGGCGCAACCATCTTCGTCTGGGAGGCGTTCTGCTGTGTACAGTCTCGCGGAAAATCTCAAATTCGGACGGAGACGCAAAAATTTACGGAGAAGAACTAGTTTGATAGAGCCTTAGACTGCTAGCTACATTTTCTTGAAAAAGAAACTACTCCATTCTTATATCAAGAATGGTGACCACGTTGCACATTAAAACGCGGCAACCATAAACAGTATTAAATAAATACATAAGTAGAACTAGAATATAATATATTCCTATTATAAAAGAAAAAAAATTGATCTGACTTTCTCTCTCCCTCTTCCTCTTCTTCTTCCTCTTCCTCTTCCTTCTCTCTCTCCTCCTCCCCCCTCTCTCCCTCTTTTTTTCCATTTCTCCCTCCCTCTTTCTATACCTATCTATCAACGCACT